CAATTCGCGATTGTGGTTCAAACTGATTTACTTTAGCGGTTTTTAACAATAAGCTTAATACAGTTAAGTTGACAAGAAAGATATCTGTTGCAATCAAAACAACAAAAGATAATTGTGTTTAGTGAAACCAAATAGATACGCTACAAGAATAATATGGGCAGTAATTTGTTCTTTAGCTAGCCACCAGAGGATGGATTTGATCGAAACAAAAATTGTGAAAGATGAAGTAGTTAAAAAAATTTTATAAGCATGAATGATGATAAAGAATTACTGCCAGGGAACAGATAGTAAGCATTATACCTACAAATATTTAACAGGAAATCATGTCAAACATATATATATATATATATATATGAATACAAAGAAATTCTTCTGGCAATAGCAAATTTCTGTTTAGAAGTTTATTCCAACGAGAAACTGTCACCTAGTAGTACTAAGAAATAGTAGTAAGTTTCTTTTGCTTTCCTCAAAGTTATAAAGTTAGAAACTAAATATGTCAAAGTTTCTCTATTTTCTGTAAATTCCATCTAGTACTTCATCGAATTATATAAACTGACTGCTGCGTGTCTCTACTCCCCTCGTTCTACTTCCCCTTCATTACTCATGCTCACCAGATTATATCTCCAAAGTCGTCAATACCCCATGATTTTTCTCAGCTCTTATATTCTTCTTGATTCGGCACACTACAATATCCTCTTTAGGAATATTGTTTTCTTTGAAGAAATCATCCCCGACGGAATATTCTTTCATCAGCCAATCTTTATTGTGCTCTCCTTCTTTACTACTAGTTTGAAACTTGAAACGTCTTCTAAACCCAACCACAGTTCCCTTACCATTCTTGATAGGAAAAATACCGGTTTGGCCTTTCCATGTCCCGTTGGCGCAAGTTCGACGAACCCTTGTATGTTCGCTCTTCTGCTTCTTCAACCGAGTAAAAATATAGCGAACCTTCTCTTCGGGATGATCAGAAGCTCCAAATATCTGCCATGGTGGTTGGTCTCCATAGATATCGGCAAGTTGGAAATTAGGGCATTCACTCGGCAAAAGCTCGCCCTTTAGGAACCTTTTCAGAAAGTTGATCAACTCTGCTTCAGTACGGGGAAACCGAACACCCATGATACACCCACGGCGTGCAGCTGGTACCATCGACATGGTATATATGGTCGTCTCTTTTTCTTGCTTATAGAGAAACACAAGACTGAGACAATAGTAATTTCCCCAATTCGCAAAGACAAGAACTTCTGTTGTCTCAAGTAAGAAGACAAGAACTATGGAAGAAAACCCTAAACGAAT